AAAAAAAATTGATTATATATATTATGTATTAAAAAAATATATTGATAAAAAAAATAACTTATATAAAAAACATAAAATTAAAAATAATTATATTAAAAAATAAACAATATAGTTTAAAAAAAATTATATATATAAATTAAAAATTCTAAAAATATATAAATATATTAATATATGTAAAATAATATATATATATATATATATATATATATATATATTTATATTTATATTTATATTTATATTTATATTTATATTTATATTTTTTTTTTTTTATATAATATTTAATCCATTATTCTAAATAATTTTATATTTTTTTTAATTAATTTATAATAATGTATTTTTTTTTTATACTCTTTATTATTTTATTATATTTAATTTTATTTTAAATATCCTATATTTTTTATTATTTATTTATTTTCATTTATTTTTATTTTTTTATAATGTTTTCTTATTTATTTTTAATATATAAAAAAAACTTTTAATGTCAAAAATATATTTTTTATTTTTATATAAATAATTATATAATAAAAATTGATATTTAAATTTTATTATTTTTTTATTTATTTTTTAACTATATTTACTTTTTAATCTATTATTACTTTTCAATAATATTTATACAAATTTATATCATATTAAAAATAATTATTTTTTCTATATATTTACACTTAAAATATTTTTATACTTTTTTTTATGCTAAATATTTATATTTTTTAATATTAATAAATATTTTAGGTTACTTTATAATTTTTATATTTAAATATTCACTTATTATTTATTAGTACTACATTCATATTTATATCATGTATTTTTTATTTTATATTTTTATATATCATTTAATTATTTTTTTAAATTCTTGTTTATATTTTTTTGAATTAATATTAAAAATTTTTCCAAAATTTTCAAAATACTTATGAATATTTAATTGTTCATTTTACTTTTGATATTATAGCATTATCTAATCGGTAAGTTTTCTTTAAATTTTGCAACCAGAATCATGATATTAATTAGATGTAAATTAATAAGATTCATATTGATAATAATCACATAAATAGTTGCGAATATTAAGGTTACAATATTCTCTTTTGTCTTTATTTATCGAAAATATGTTCTCAGTCTTATCCTTTTACATAGTATTTTTTTTCTTCCATATATTTATTAATTTCGGCTTAGATGCCTGTGTCTCTTAAAATATTGGTTGTAAAACCGCTAAAATAAGCTTAAATTTATTCGAAATTTGCATTTATTTATTCATCTTGGATGACTATCATTTACTAATAGGATCCTATAGAACCTTAGCCTCCTTAATATTTAAAAGACATACAAGGTAATGATGGAAATCTGAGACTCATTTAGCTATACTTTTTGTAGTAAAACCTAATATATGAATTATTTCATATATAATTGTTTCAAATAAAATTGAATCAGTCATATAAAAATTAACTAATTTACCTATATTAAAGTTAAATCTACCATGAATAGTTCCTAAACTTTCAAAAAATTGACATCAATAAGCTTTTGCTAAATATTTTTAGTTTGTTTCATTTTTATATTTTAAATAAATAAATAAATAAATATGTAAATAAGAGTCTTTACCTATTTAAGGAATTACAAATTAACTAAATTTGCTACTTTAACCCTTTATATCTCATATTTTTGGGAAATATATTATTTTCGTTTATTTTCATATTTAAATTATTTATTTGTAGATTTATAATAATTTTTAAATAGTATTTTAAACACGTATAATATCAAATATAAATATATTTATTTGTAATATAATTATTTTAATTAATTATCTTAGATTTGAAATTTATTTTAAATAAATTTTTTTAAAAGAAGTTATATTACATATATATTTATTTAAGTTTTTTTATATTTTTATTAACTAAAAAATTGTAAATGATTTTAATATTAATAACTTATATATGTTAATCTAATAAGATTTTTTATTTATAAATCAATATATTATTAAATTTTTAATCTAAAAAAATGTTAAGGAAATAAATAAAAGTAATTAAAAAAATATAAGTAACCAAATTTTAAACGTTTAAGCGCTTATGTAAAAAAATATAAATCTATATAAAAAATATCATAACAACCAATAAAAATAAAACTTTAAGCAAAAATTCTATTTAAAAATAATTACAAAAAGAATATATATTCTTAAAATTTATTGTTATTAATAAAAAAATTATTTTCATAAATTATATATTTCTTATGAACTAAAAAAATAGTATCAAATACGATATATTAATATTTTATAATATAAAAAAAATTCTTAAAAATAAAAAAAAAATATAAAAATTAATATTTATCTATTATATAAATAAATATATAATAATTTAATTATTTTAAAAAGATATTTATATATTGTTTTAAAATTTTTATATTAAAAAAATATTAATTAATTTATTTAAATTTTTATTTAAAGATAATTTTTTTTTTGTTTCCTCTATTTTTCTATTGATTTACTTTATTAAAATGAAAAATAATAAAAAATATTAAAAATAAACTAAGTTTTTTTATTTTTTCAAATTATTTGTTAACAATATTTGAAAAAAATAAAAAAAAATCCCTTTTATTTATAAAAATATAATTATATTATTAGAATTTTATTGATTTAATGACATTTGTATGATAATAATTATATTAAATATAATTTATATAAAATAAATTTAAAATAAATATTATGATTATAATTTTTTATTTTTTAATATATATTATATATTTTTATATTTTTTTATATTTATTTTATAATATTATTTTAATTATATTTATTAAATAATATTTTTATTAAATATTTAATTAATTTAATTTTTTTATGAGTTTTATTAAACTATTAATCTTATAATTAATATTATATATCATATGTATCATATTTATTACATATAATTCTTTTATATTAATAATAAATCTATAGATTTTAATTCCAATTTTTCTATGCAATCATACATTTATTTTAATTATTTATTTGTTAAAAATATATAATATATTATTATTTATTAATTTCAAACTATTAATTTTTTATAATATTGTTATTATATAATTTATGGAAATTTAAATGTATAATTAATATATAATATTTTAATTAAAATTAATTAAATAAAAATAAATAAATACGATTTTTGATTTTTTTGATTTTTTAAAATATAAAATATATTTATATTATAAATAATAAATAAATATAATAATATTTATTATAAATTTATAATATAAATAAATATATATATATATTTCTATATGTATATTTATATTTTTATAAATATATATATTTATATATATATACAATATTATTTATTGTTTTTTTACATTAAAATTATTTATTTTTATGTTAAATTTTTTTTTTTTCTATAATTATTAAATATTATAATTTTTTTTTTTATTGTTTATTTTATATATTTATTACGAATTTTTTTATAAAATTATATATAAAAATATATATTATAATTATTTAACTATATATTCTTAATAATAGTAATTTTATAATTTATATATTTATTATTTAAATAATTATAATAAATATGATTAAAAAATTAATTTATGTAATTTATATAATGATTTTACTAAATATTATTTTTAATTATAAAATAATTATTTAAATATATTTAATATATATACAATTTTACAAAATTAAAAAATTATTTATATCTATTAATTTTGTTAACTAAAATAAATGTTAATTATGAATAAGCTATTAATATCATAATTATTTATATTAACTATATATGGTTTAAAAATACTCTAACACTAATGTGTCCACGATTAAATTGTAGAAAATCATAAATACGATTTGATTTTTCCTGATAAAGAATCTTTAGATATAAGAAATTTAGAAACTATATAACCGTAATATGTTAGTTAATAACTTACGATATGTCTTTTTTCTAAAATTTAGAAGAAAATGATTATAATAAAAGTTTTACTGCTTTCTGCGAGAAAGCTGTAAATTTGGCAATTGACTATTTTTCTCGTTTAATAAAAATTGTCTTAAAATCTGAATAAAATATGTGATATAAAGGCTAAAATACTAAATGTGGTTAAGTTGTAATTCCTTAAATAGACAAAGATTAAGGTAAGGATTCTGATTTACATTTTTATTTGTAATATAGAAATGAACCAAATTAATAATATTTAGCAAGAGCTCATTGGTGTCAATTTCTGGACGGTTTAGGATCTACTCATGGTAAACTTAACTTCAATATGGGTTAATTAATTAATTTTGATATGACTGATTCAATTGTATTTGAAGATTTGTTTGAAATAGTTGTACATGAAATAACTCATATATTAGGTTCTAATGCAAAAGGTATAGCTAAATGGGTTACTGCTGATGGATTACCTCATGTTGATCCTATTATTAAATTACAAATAAGGGGAATTGAAAGTTATTTGCTCGCAACTCCTAACGTTTTAAAGTTCGCCCGAGAATATTTCGGATGCCCTTCTTTACCTGGTATGTCCCTTGAAAATCAAGGAAGCTTAAGTTCTTTAGGATCTCATTGGGAAATGACAGTCATCTAAGATGAATACATGAATGGAAATTTGGCATTAATTTAAACTTATTTTAGTGGTTTTACAGCTAATCTTTTAAGAGACACAGGCTTCTATGCCGAAATTAACGAATCTATGGAAGAAAAAACATTCTATGGAAAAGGATAAGGTTGTGAACATATTCTTGATGCATGCAGATCTGAAAAAAGAGAATATTGTAAAAATACAGACAAATTTGTATGTGATTATTATCACAATGGATCTTCTGGGTGTTAATCTAATATATTTAATGATCCTGGTTGCAATACTTTAAAAATTTATAAAAAAGAGAATGCTTTAATGATAAAAGTAAATATAACAGTTAGTTATATCAGAAGACATACGGAATTAAATTTGGGAATAATTCTAAATGTTTTAACGCAACTTTAATAGTTAATGTTCAAACATAAAAATTTAAAGATATAATTTAAGGTCAATGTTACGAATATAAATGTAGTTCTGATAGATAAAAAGTAATAATTTATGTAGGAAAAAAATAGAAAATTTGTTAGAAAAATTTAGAATAAATAACAGTTGAGGGGTATAGTGGATATATCTAATGTCTAGAAAATATATAAGAGTTTTGTGAGTATAAAAAATTCTGTAAAAATTATTGTAGTGCAAATGGATATTACGTAAATAATATTTGAATTGTGCTAATGGATTTTATGGAGAAGATTGCTCAAATAAAAAAACAGATTGATAAGAAAAAAAATTATTTTAAAAAAAAAAAAAATTAAAAACAATAATAATAATATTATAATTATTAATAATTATTATAATATTCTTAAAAACATTAAAAAAAAAAATCAATAATTTTAATATTATTTTTTAAATATTTTTAAAAATATATTTTTTTTTGTAGAATAAAATTAAATTAAATTAAATTAAATTAAATTAAATATATATATTTTTAATTTATTTATTTAATTTATTTAATTTTTTTTTTTTTATATAAATTTTTTATTTTATAAATTATTTATTTAAAATTTTTTAACATATTATTTTTTTTAATTTAAATTACCTATTTTATTATTTTTTTACATATCATAAAATGTTTGATAAAAAAATTTTTGCTTTTTTTACATTTATTTATATTGATTTGTCAATTTAATTTATTTTATTATCTATTATACAAAATTATATATAACATCTTTAATATTTATTTTTATTTATATTTTTTTTTAATTATTTTTTTATTTTATATTTAATTAATAATAATTATAAACATATATCAATAATTTTTTACTTGTTTTTTCATTTTATTATTAATTATATAATTCTATTTTTTTTTTAAAGATTTAATATATTTAAATTAGATAGTTTATCATATTATGATTTATTCTATATATATATATTTAAATTATAAAAAAGATATAATATGAAAATATTAAAATAAAAAAAAATTATTTTTATTTTTAATTTATTTTCATTATATTTTTCTAGGTATATTTATTTTAATTAATTTTGTTTACAATATATATATTTTAACTAGAATTCCTTTCTTTATATCTGTTATATAATAATCATAAATTGTATTAAAATTAATTATTTTATATGATAAAATATGTTTTACTCATATAATATTGAAACAAAAAATTATATTAATTCAAATAAATATTTTTTATCATAATATTATTTATTAATTAAATATATAATTTTAGTTTGTTATATAAAAGAATTTAATATTATTTTTTATTTTTAAAATTTAGTATTTTCATCATTTGAAAATATAAATTTTATAGTTAATTTATTATTAACATTATTTTTATAAATATTCATATTTAAATTAATTTTCTTTTATTATAATATTTAAGCATCAGAAAATTTTATTATTTTTATATAATAATATGTTAAAACAAATTAATAGACAAGATAAAAAAAAAAGTAAATGCCTTCTTCTTTTTCTAATTCAACTTGTTCAACTCCAAATAATGATACAATCTAAAGTATTTTGAAAAATGATGCTGTTCGATATGTCAGAAAAGGTAATAACATAAATATATTATTGTATATTTGATAAAAATATTAATTAATATATAAATCAACTTTATTAATAATGAATATATTATTTAAAAATAAAAGGTTATGGACTTTTCTTTGCTATATTAATATTTTTGACATTTTTTTACTACGGACCAATTATATTATATTAAATATGGCCTTATTATTTATCTTTATGTGAAAGTAATAAAAAATAAAAAAATATTTACTTTTTTCTAAATTAAAAAAAGTAAAAAAACTAATTTTTTTTACAATCATATTATTCCCAATAATGATGTTCATTATTTCTAATTCTATAATGTATGTAATATATACATAAGAGCATCCTTTTTTTGAAAGATACAGAGTTTGGCCTGAGAAAGAATGGCCTTGGAAATCTGACAATGTAAAATGGTAAAAATGCTTAAGAAAAACAATCAAAAACTTATTCGTAAATTAAGTCTTAGTATCCTCAATAGTTGGATATATTGGTGTCTTTATATCTTAAAATAAATCTAAAACTTCCTTTGAAGAATTCCCTGATCATATTACGATAATAAAGCATATTTTAATAATGATGATAATGGAAGATTTTTCATTTTATTGGGCTCATAGATTCCTTCATTTACCTTTTGTATATATTTATATACATAAATAACATCATGAGTATAACAATTCAATTTCTTTATGCTCTGAATATGCAAATCCTATAGAATTTGTACTTTCGAATATTTTCCCGACATGTTTAGGGTATCTTTTATTAGGTGAAAATGTACATTTTGCAACCTATTTATTATGGTTAGGTATTAGAATTTTCGAAACTATAGATGGGCATTGCGGATATGAATTTTCATGGAGTCCTTATAGGTTATTACCCCTTTCTGGATCAAGTGAATTCCATAATTTTCATCATTCACATAATATTGGAGCGTTTGGGTCTTTTTTTACTTATTGGGATACTATTTGTGGAACTAATAGGGATTATTTCGCTTATAAAGCTAGAAAAGAAGGATTAAATTAGAAAAAATTGGAAAAGAAATTATTAGAATTATAGAAAAAAAAACAATGATAGATATTATGTTTTTTTAAATAAAAAAAATATATAGTTTTTTTATATTTAAAAAATTACTTCTATATATATATATAGTTAAATTAAAATATAAATTTATTTAAGTATAAAAAAAAATATAAAATGTTATTATCAAATATAAAATAAGAAGAAAAAGATTTCTATGTAAATCCTTCTACTGTTTATGCTGTACCTTAAAACACTGGAAATCCAAATAAATTGAAATTATAAATCTAATTTAACCATAATGGAGAAAAGATATTTGTTTCAGTGGAAAAAAAACTAACTATATTATAATTATAAACATAAATAGCTTATTATTATTAAAAATTATTCCTTAAAACTGAATCAGAAGTTAAAATAACAAATTTGAGATTTTAGTAATGTCTTATTTTTTACGATGAAATTATTGATGATGTTTTAAATAATTATGATTTTTTAACTTGTGACGTATAAATAATATATTAAAATAATAACCATAATGATAAAAAGGCATAAAAATATGCATAAAAAACATCATAAAAAAATATTTAAAGCAATGAATCTTCTTTTTCTATATAGTAGACTCCTTAAAAAAATAAAAATTTATAAAATCATAATTTAAATTAACAAAATCAGAATTATTAAAATCATTATAATAATTATCAAAATGATTAATATAAATTAAATTAATTAAATAATTTATAAAAAAATAATTATTAGAGTAAAAATGAACATAAAAAACACCCAAATAAACATGAAAAAGAACAAAATAACAACCAAAAACATTAAAAAGATCAAAAATAATAAGAATAACCGCTAATAGAAAAACCTTAATAATAACTAAAATAATAAAAACCTTCACAATAAAATTAATAATAATAAAAAGAATAAAAAATTAATAATAATAATAATAGTAATAATAATATTTATAATAATAAAAAGAATAATAATTATAGAAAGAATAATAATTATAAAGCGAATAATAATTATAAAAAGAGTAAAAAATAAATAAAAATAATAATATTAACAATAACAATATCAATAATAATTAAAAAGTTAATAATAATCTTCCACTAAACCTTAATAATAATAACCTTTACAAAATATTTAATAAAAATACCCTTAACAAAATATCTAGTAATAATAATCAAAAGAACTTCCAAAACCTTAATAATAATAATAAGCCAAAAACATTCCTATTATATCTAAAAAATAATCATCTATATAGTAAAATAATCTTTCTATATCATCTGAGTCTGATTCTACAATAAAAAATGATAATTAAGTAAATAAAAAGACTATTTAGTAATAATAATAACTTGAAAGAAAATAGTTATCATCATCTTCTTCTTCGGATGAAGAATAACAAGAAAAAGAAAATTAAATAACGAAAAATTAATAATAATAATAGAATTCGAAATAAAAATTATAAATAAAAAATTCAAAAAGTTCTTCTTCTTCTTCATCTACATCTTCTGAAAATTAAATAGAAAAATTAAAAGATGATTTTTAAACTAATTATAATCAAAAAAAAGAAGGAAAAAACAAAAATAATGTTAATAATACAAGTATAATAGAGGATGAAAGTATTGATTTAGAAGCATTTAAAGATAATAATAAAGGAAAATAAAAACTTTAACAAAAAAAAAAAAGAACATTGAGTTTTGAGTAATATTAATATGAAGAAGAAACTTCATAAAACTCATCTGAAGAAGAAGAAGTATAAATAATAAGAAATTCAAAATAAAAAGAAAATTTATTATAAAAATTATCAAAAAAAATAAAATGATTGCAAAAATAAAATAAATAATTTTATAAAAATAAAAATTAATTTATATGAAAATAAAATATAAAAATAATAATAATTATAAAATAAAATTAAATTTAAATAATAAAATAATATATATATATATATATATTTATATATATATATATATTTATATATATATATACATAATATTTATATATATTTTTTTTAACACTTATTTTTAAAATATGAAAAAAGCTCATCCTACATTAATCAAATCAACTAAAAATTTTTAATTTTTCGAAAATTCACAATAATAATTATTACTTGATAAACCCTAGAAAATATAATATAAAAATATTAGTAAAAATATTTCTAAAACTCTTTTTTCACCTGAAATATTAGATAAATATCCATAAAGTGTATCTAAATTTTTACAAATTTAAAAACATTATTAAAATTATATCTCTCTAAAGTAAAATACATCATTAAAATCATAATATAACACAATTAATGTTTCTGAACCATCTCTTTATTTACAAAAAAAAAAGATAAAAATCCTTAAACAACGTTTACATCTTTAAAAAACTTTTCAAAATTAAAAAGCAGCCGTTTCTTCCTATCTTAAAGGCCATATAATTAATCCTAGTATTCTTAAATAGGAATCATAAGCATATTATTCAATTAAATAATCAGATTTTTAATCGACTAAGCCCCATAAATTTTCCTTATTAACTTCTGTTTTAGCCCCTGAGAATCTTAAAACAGCCTAAAAGCCTTAAAATACCAATTTAGATCCTATAAAAGCCTAAATGAAGGATTTTTTGACTTAGTTTTTAAAAGGTGAGCAGTAATATTTCGATATGCTTTCTGATGCAGAAAAAAAGGGATAAAAAAAGTTTTTCTAAACTATGTGCACTACTTAGAGATTTTATTATAATTAATTAAATGCTCCGGAAACGCCTTTTAATTAAAATAATGATTTGAAAATAAGAAAGAATTTTTTCATTATTGAGTAAAAAAAAGTGATCTTGTAAAAAAACAACAATAATAAAACTGAAAACGAAGTTCATTTTAGTCAAGAAAAAATAAAAAAAGAAGCCGAGAAACTATAAATTTTCAACTAAAAAATAAGTGAAGAAAAAGAAAAGTTTCAAAAAATAAAACCTGTTTTCGAAAATTTTATTTCCCTAATTAAATAGAATAAGCTTGAAAAAGTCAAAGAAACAGTACTTTTATAACCTAATATTATTAATTTAGCAACTGATCATTTAAATTAAAAAGCACTACATTGGGCTGCTAAAAGAGGATATAAAGATATGTGTATTTTTTTAATTAATGCAGGGGCAGATGTTTTTCATGTTGATGTTAATGGAAAAAATGCAAGTGATTTAGCATAATATATGAAGTTTTTCAGTTGTTAAACTTTAATTTAAAAAGAATAAAATATGTAGTTATTAGAAAAATTTATTGAATAAAACAATAATTTATCGATTAAAAAAAGAAAATGATGTTTTTTATTTATTCAAATCTAAAAAGTTTTTGATTTTTTATAAAAATAATTTATAACTTTTGTATTTTATTTTTTTATAGTATCATAATTAATTTATTTTTTAAGTTTATGTTTTTTTATATTAATTTATAGATAATCTTTGTAAAAAACAATATTTATTAATATTATTATGAAAAGAAATTAATTTATTGATCAAAATACTTTTTATTTTATTTTTAAAAAAATTAAAACAAATAATTCAACAATAAAAAATAATAAAATATTTTCATTTATTAAATATAAAAAATAATGGGAAATGCTTTCAAAAGGAAAAAACTTCCCCAAAAAATAATTCCTTAATAATAAAATCAAATTTAACCTTAACAAGAAGATCCTCCGTAACTCCAATAAATTCATTAAGAATCACCTCTCTAATAAAAAGAGTATTAACCAAATTATGATATTGTTGTAGAAAAATAAAATGAATAAAATTAAGAAATTTAACAATCTCCGAAGATTCATAAAAAAAGTCCAAAGTAATCTCCATAAAAAAATAAGAGTCCGGACAATAACACATTAAATTTATCAAAAGAATTACCCGAAATAAACGACTAAAACGACTATTTTACATGTGATATAAGTGAAATTGTATCCGATGAAGATTCTAAAGAAAATCCAGAAGAATAAGCAAAAAGAATATTCACGAAAATTCAAAAAATATCACAAATTCCAACTACAAAATAAAACTAAACAGAATTTTTCAATTGGCCATAATAAGGAAAATGCAAAATAATGAGCACAAGTTTCAAAATAATATATTCAGTAAAAGAATAAGACCTAAAAATGCAAAAATAATATACTTATCATACAAAATCTAGTCTTATTTGGCAAAAAAACAATGATTTTTAAGTTTATGAATTTGTATTAGAAGACGAAGAAATTTTTGATGAAAAAACAAATTAGAATTTTAAACTTTAAAATAATAAAATTACATTTTTGATAAGCGATAAAGGAGCTTTTATAGGTATTAATGATGAAAAAGCATATGTAAATAATATGAAAAAAATAAAAAAAGTAAATAAAAGATATTTGGAATAAAAATAATATTAACATAAACAAATAACACAAAAAAAAATAAATAAAAATAAAATTATTAATGATACTGAAATTTCAATGAAAAAGTAAAAATAATAATAATAATAATAATATATATATATATATATATATATATATATATATATAATATAATTATTAACTATATATTTAAATATATATATATATATAATATTGTATATTAATATATTTATATATATAATATTTATACATATATATTTACTATATAAATAGAATGTGGACTAATTCAGTTCAGGATTTTCTAAATAAGGATTTAAATTATTAAAGTTAAGAAAATTTAGTTTTTAATGGAAATTTTTGTATTTAATATAATAAAACTAATATTTTTAATTAAAAAAAAATGGAAAATTTTATTAAAGATTAATTAAACTAAAATTAAAAATATTTTTAGAATTGTTTTAAGAATCCAAAAAGAACTATTTTTGATAAACTTCGTTAATGGAATATTATTGAAGATTAAAATTAATAATTAATTCCAAAAAAATATAGATTTCCTTTATTAAAAAAGGAAGATAAAATAATAGGCATTATGTAAGATAATTCTTAATTTAAAAAACTGCATTTAATATAAAGTGAGAGTGTCAAATAAATAGTTATTGAACATCAAAAAGACCTTTTTGTAGATGTTTTATTAGATTTTAGATT